CATGCTTCTAGGCTCGCTGGGGTTATTGATAAGGCCTAGGCGAGGTCGCAACTCCAGTCCACCCTGAATAGGAAAGCAAAGCTATGCAAAATTCAATGGAAATTCCATGTCTAGTCACATAATTATGGCAAAATTCAGCTGCTAGTCCTTCATATCTCATATACGTGATTTACGGGTAGTATCGAAAACCTACCTAAAGATAAAAATTAATATTGCCTAAAACATTGGGCATGCCATGGATTGCTTGGTGCTCATGAGATATGACGATCTTACCGGCTGATAAAATATAGAGGGCTTGTCACCTAACTGCCCCCTAGTGTGCCAGATTAAATTCGATTAGTATTTGGCCAGAAAGAGTATTTAAAAAACCAAGCAAAAAATATTGGCATAAGGTGCAAATTTCGATATTCTTTATAAAATTTAAACTATCAACGAATTGGCGCGAATGTGTATCCTTTAAAGAATGAAACAATTATAAATATAAAATAATTAACTGTTAAATAGGCAAATGAAAGACAATATAAATAAAATGAATCTGATTGAAATTATAGAAAGGAAGAAAACAATAGGTGTAGACAATGAGTAGTAAACAAACAACAATCATGTAACAATACAAGTGCAGCGTCACAAAACGACGTGCATATGTGATCAGATGGCATGAATAACTTAGTTAGCTAGAATAACATATTTACTCGACGAGAAACGATTAGTGCTGAGCTGCGATGGAGGCGGCAGCGAATAGGCTATTTGGAGCAAATTCGTGTACAGGGAAAATATTTCTGACTACCCTATTCTTGGAAGGATATCAGTCGACTCAGCCAGTTTAATAATGTTCCTTGGTTTTTCATTTGGTCCCCCTCTGTAGGTTTGGTAAAACCAAGTGACTATCTTTATTGCTCAACGGGTGAGTTATGGACCTGGTGCGACTTGTACCTTTTCTCTTCACGAACATGGTTTACCACAGACTTGATCCTACCAGTTTGTCTCCTTGGCTTATACAAATGTTCTTCCCTTAAACTGTCGCATGGCTGGCCATTTAGTATGAAGAACTTTAATTATGTTAATTGATATACAGCATAACTTGGCCTATTTAAGTAATTGAAAGTGTAACTGTATTGTGAATCAAAGTTTGTAGGCCAATTGATAAAATATCTGATTGTGCGATCTCCCATTGTCAAATAGTCAGCATACAATGGCCAAAGTGACCAATGTACAATATAAAAAGTGAGACCTAGTATGTTAGTGCAGAATAATCACATTAAAAAATAGGATTAAAACAAGAGGCTGGCCCTACGTATACCAGTTCGAATATCTGTGCTAATAACAGCGAGCTAAATATAAATAAGTATGATCTGTTCATAGGACAATAAGAACCTGTATCCGCTTAATGGGCCAGAAGAGAGCAAAGGGAATATTGGAACGCAGGAAAAATGGAAATGCAGTGGGTGCATGCGGGATTGGCTACAAGAGTATGCAAAACTTATGGCGGACATACAGATACAAAGATTTAAGTAAATCAGTCACCGAGTTGTTTGGAGAAAGACAAATGGCCAACAAACAGCAAAAGTAGTGAATCTTTAGAATGGGTTAGCAAGAGGATGAATTATAAGGCAGAAAGAAAATAAGATTTCGTATAGAACTAGTGGATATGGCTTACACGTAACTTAACTAATAAGATAATAAGTCTTGCCTCCTGATTCATAAAAGAGCAACCACACTAAATACTTCAACATCTATAGTTTTTGAATCCATCAATTTCATCTTTGATCGCAATCTTCTTCTGTTGGATATGATTGGTTTAGTCTAGTTTTGTTAGCCTAGTCATTCTTTCGGATATCTCAAAGAATGCATCCCCTACTGCGTCCTCTACCGGCTTCCTTCCAGAATCGGACATTCCAAGCAAAGTAGAAAGATCCGTTGCGTAGCGCCAGCCTTGCATCATGCTGCAATTAGTATAAGTAGCGAGCACTTAACAAGATACTTGCGAAAAGTTAAGGAATGTAACCAATCAGAGATCCGATATTGGAAGCAAACAGAAAAAATTTGTCAGAAGACTCAGTATAGGACACTTTCTCCTTTAGCCTACAATAAAACACGACTAAGCTGAGAAATGAGGTCAAACTAAACCTCATCCTTTCTTTTAGTATTGGGTGAAATAGCGCGTGAGGTATCATCCGTGTCGATTACGCATCAGCGGTGTTTAATTTGGATAGTTTAATTTGTGTATGTATCTTCATGAGGGGATGTGCATGCCTGAAGAGATTTGATAATTATATCCTTGATCCAGATGAATTGATGGCTGTTGAGCATTGGTGTCTGCGATATAAGCTAGCTAGCCTAATTTGAAGAGATTGATAGGCATTCATGAGGGCCTTGTGCTCGGCGCACCGACCGATGAAGCTACCCCATGTCAGACAGAAGATCAAAGCACCGATAAACCCACTGGCTATGACTATAAGCCCGGAGTAAAAGTAAAATAAACCACTCGGAGTGACGCCGCTGGCCAAGCAACCGACATCATCATCGAAGGACGGGGCAGCAAGAGACTGTAACATTACTCCTGCGGTGCAGGCAAGAAGAAGAAGTATAAATGAAAGCAAAGTGAGGCCAGCCAGTTGAATCCGTCGGCCAAAAAGGCAGCGTTCGACTGCACGGTTCAGCTGACTATTAGCCGAGAGCAGCAGTTGCTCGAGGTATGGGTTCACAGAGGAAGGAGAGATTAAGCCATCTCCCCCAGAGTAAACTACACAGACAGATAGGCATTAAAATTTAGGCGTAAACAATTGTATAAGAAAAAAATCATACTAATGAATACGTATTTATAATTAGAGATAAAGGAGTAAAAGCAAAGCAATATAGACGGATATGGAGATATAAATAAATTCAAAGGTATGGAAAATAGCGATTTTTCCATAGGACTTAAAGTAATTGCATTGATACATTATAGAATCAAGTACATTCAAAAAATGGTCTCAAATTTATGATTAAACAGTTAACAGCAACGCGATCTCGAAATTGGCCCTTCTATGGATTTTAAGTTGTTCTTAGCCTTGTATGTGCAATGCTGAAAAAATTATCAGAACAAGGTAGCAATGCCTTAGATTTAGAGAAAAAAACATTTTGGATATTCACTTTAGCTGTCCTTAAGTTAAAATCCCAAAGCAAATGTGAAGATTTGCTGTTAAGTGACTGATATATTAGCATACATACACCTAAACATATATTCTGGGTATTTATATTGAGTATACACGATAAAATGGCCCTTTCAGGCCAAAAGATATGGATATGAAACACTAACTCTAAGAAATGCTTAAACTATTTTCCAGAATCCCTTATATGAGCAAGAGCATCCAGAGTCATACTAAGTACTTGTTACTGTTCCATCCTTAAATGTAGATCGCATTTTGCCTATTAGCTAGCAATTATTTGTAGAAATTAATAAACTGAATAAAGGACTGAAGAATAAATTAATATTGGGAGCTTTATCTTCGGTATGAGTATGCTTCGAAAGCTGGTTATTATTTAAGAGCATTGGACGTCATAGGTCGCTTATGGTGATTTAAGCACTATGAAATTTCCCACAATGAAATGAGTACGCCTTATTACGTCATTTAATTTTACTTAGCTTTCCCTCTCAATAGGCCTTCTCATTAAGGGTGGATTGCTGTTTCAAGCTCTTTTAGACCCAATGGGATTGAAAAATCGGATGGAATAAATCAGCAAATTGCCCTCACAGGAAACGAAAAGAAGATCGCCCCTGTGTTATGACTTTTAACTCCTCAGGGTATCTTCCTCTGATTTTGATCAATCGGTGCTAAGCTTTCTTTATATTGCATACATTGTCAGAGCTTGAAAGCGTTCTCTGATTAAACTTAATCAAGCACTAAGACAAGACATTTGGCCCATTTATCATTATCGGAATTAATGAATTAATCTTATCAATCAGTTAACTAGGCTTTGAGACAATATCAACTTAGTTATATCGTTTAAGGTTATACGTAAGACATTGACGAAATAGTTTGATTTTCAGATCGTATTCGCTCTAAATATATGGGAAATCACTTTTAAAACCATAAAATAGCTCGAATAACTGCCAGCTCTGCTAACCTGAAGACTTAGTCTCCTCACATACGTCCGATGAACTGAGTGCCACGCCCACTGTGGAGTAAGCCAGCTCCGGGACAGCCAATTGATTTCGGGAAAGGCAGAAAATCGCCTCTACTGCTTCATGGTCAGAATAATGCAATGACTCCTCCCCGGGCACCTCACGTAAGACCAATCGGCAAGAAGTACAGGATATATTGACGTCTGTAGCCAAAGGTTAGATATAAGTGTAGACATTATGTACAGACACAATGAACTAAGGAATAACATTAAGGATAAGCAACCTTGGGATAATTTGGTACAAATCTTAGGTCTGAAATGTAGGTTTTAATTAATAGAGCTACAGATAAAGTAAGCTAGTTAAAATGCAGCTTAAGCACTCTCAAGCCCTTTTATCCATCATGCAAATGCATAATTTCATAGCGCATATCAAACATATGCATTACTTGCATAAGACAAAGTTGCTGTTTATAGACAATGTTAAGTGTTCGGCTAAGTACGCAACTTAGTGCTAAGTTGTTTCTTTTAGTGATCTAAAGGGAATTCCAGACTGGCAAAATGGCAAAATCATGTGGTACTAAGATAGACATTAATAAAGTAAGTTTTCCGCAGATTGGTAGAATAAAGAGAAAAATACAGCAAATAATCTGGCTTCCAATATCCTCAAGGAAAAGGCTGTATTTATTCCAATGATGCACACAATATTCATATGTAATTGAAGTCACACATGCGAATAAAAGTTGGGTTTCGAGGAATCTCTTGTTGCATAATTGTTAAGCTTACTTCCATTTCGAGTAAAAGTCTTTGGTAAAAAGATTTTAAGGTGGGTTCCATCAAAAGACGACGGCGGATTCCTCTTGACAAGCTGTAGATTGGCTTTACTGGAAGATTCATGCTGACGCTGCTTCCCAGGTAATCTCCTTCGATTTAGGTGAAAAATGCTAATATTCATATAAGGGTAGGGTTTCGAGACTACCAGTAAATCAGTGTAATGAGATGTATTCACCCTATTTCGTCTAAGGTGATG